AGTACTCAAGGTGTACTTGAGTCTAACCAGTGCTGAATAGAGGGGGACTAGCGCCTCGTGGGATTTGGAAACTATACTTCAATTAATGCAGCCTAAAATAGCATTTGCCTTTTTTGTAGCCACAAATCTATTGGCTCATACTCAGCTTGTGATCTATGACAATTCCAAGATCCTTCTCGCTTGTAGTATTGCTGAGCCAGGTATACCCCCCCCCCAAATCTTGTAACTGTGCAATTGGTTTCTTTTTCCGATGTGCAGTACTTTGCACTTATCCTTGTGGAATTTCATTCTGTTGTTTTCGGCCCAGTGATCTATCCTATCAAGGTCATTTTGAATTTTGTTTCTGTCTCCCAGGGTATTAGCCATTTCACCCAATTTTGTGTCGTCTGCAAATTGGGCAAGCGTTCCCTGCACTCCCTCATCCAAGTCATTAATAAAAATATTGAAGAGCACTGAACCTTGCCGGGACCCCACTTGTTACCTCCTCCCATTTATTTCCAAGCTCTGTTTCAGACTCCCTTCGCTGAGAGTACATTTTCCACATTTTCCATACTGGCTTTTCCGAAAAGGAACTTCTGTTCAGACTATACCCTTCATGCTTAAAAGGACGTTTTAGGTTGTCTTGTTGCATTGAATGAACTGAAAGTGCACTTCTCTTGGTACCCCAGAGGAACTAATTGTGTACCCTAGAAAGGAGCAGGCAGACTTCAGATGTGCAAAAATCTGCTGTGATTTTCTCCTAGAACACTGGTGCAAAAGGCATCTTTTTAGAACTGAATGGAACTCAAAGCCCTGCCACGTAAAAGAAATCTGCTCCTCATTATTCCAGACTGTGTTCCGTCCGCCCCAGTACTGTAGTTTAAGGTGAAGCTGTTGTCACTTTTAAGTGACTGAGAATCAAAAATCCTAGGCAATCTACTGCAAGCCCCCAATCCTTGTACCCCACTTCTCCACCAAAATAAAAAACAATGTTCCTTTGATGAAAAGATATGTTGCAAGAGAGTGAAACAGTGGTAGGAAATGATTTCTAGGAAAACTGTCTGCTGTCAAAGCACCCCACTGATGAATTTCTGAAGAAATTGTATGATACAGTACTCAAGAACCAGGCTGGACAGCTTGGTAAAAATGCAGTGGAACAAAACTGGATATTATTCTTCAACAACAGCAGCAAAAAATATTTTTCCCTTTGGATTCATGATGTAAACAATGCATCAGAATTAAGACTGTAGTGTTTTGGTTCTTTCTTTTTGCCTTTGTGGAGAAGGTCTGATTGGTTGAGAAGGACAGAGAGCAGTCATCAGAGGTATAGATGCTCTGCGTGCTGCTTTGCTGGGAGAGGTAGTTTTTTTAAAATTTAGGCAGCAGTCAGTGGGAGTGCTGTACACCTTCTTCTACAACCTTTGTGATGAGCACTAGAGATGGTATGACTCCCTTTGTGGGCCTCTCTCCCCTGGCTGGTTCCCCCACTCACCAGCTGGTGTGCACTGCTTGTCTCCTGCTCTTTGAAAAGACCATCCAGTCGCAAGCAGGAACATGGACTCCCCTTCCCCACCTCCTCCAGCAGCTGCCCACTCCAAGGCAGTGTTGCAGGAATCCCTGCCCTGCCTCCTCATCTGAAGCAAGCCCTCCCCATTTCTTATGAGCACTGTTTTTATTGCTCCTTTTTCTAAAATGTAGCTTTTAAGTGGGACTGTATAACAATAACAATCATGCGCCATCAAGTTAATTCTTACTTATTTGACCATTTTTTTCAGGCTTTTCCCGGTAGACAGTGCTCAGAAGTACTTTATTATGTCCTTCTTCTAGGGCAGTGATGGCAGCTGGCTTGCAGAGCCCTTTCTGCGGGCATGTGAGCCATAAGTTGCTGAATCGCTACTCTCCCCCCCCACGCGCAGCCAAACCTGAGAAGGGCAGCTGCAGCTGCGGTGCTGGCGCTTCAACAGGCGGATCCTGAGCAGCTGGCACTGCTGGCGGATCTAGAGTTGGGGTTTCAAGGCATTCCCCCCCTTCCACCGCCACTTCCGTTTCCACTGCAGCCTGCTGCCCACTGGTTTGTTTGTTTGTTTCAGTTTGGGCACGTGAGCCTAAAAAGGTTCGCGGCCACTGTTCTCGGGGCTTCCTGGGACTCTGTGCAGCTTGCTCAAGGCCACACAGGTTGCCCCTTCTCTTAGGAGAATTCACTCTCAGCCTCTGACTCCACAATCAAATACTTTCAGAATCAAATGTTATTCCAGTTTTTATGCTTGCACATGACTTATGTAAGCATAGAATATATCCATGCATAAGAAAATGCAAGTGTGGAGGCCAGGGCTCTGTCTCTGTTGGAGCAGAAGCACTTGCTGACTGTTGTTTTGTAACTTTCCATTGTTTGTTACTCGTGATGAGAGGAGCTTCTGTCTTCCCTAGAGCTAAAAAAGAGAGGTGCGGGGAGAGGCAGAGAGCTTGTTTGCCACCTTCTCCTGCCTTGATTACTTCAGTAGCACTATGTCGGCAGTGCATAATTCATGTAAAGAGACTCATAAGATCCAGTGAAGGCAATGATACCCAGCCTGTGTGTGTGTGTGTGTGGGGGGAGGCTGAACAAGCATGGACTTTGTTTTCACATATCTATAATGCAGCTTGTAGATGCTCTATATACAGAGAGCTGATCTGATGACCTGTCCAGCATTAAATGGGAGATGCAGAGACCTCTGAACCTAGACATAAGAAATCCACACATCATTTGAAAAGTTGACTCTCAAGCTTTCGACCTAAACCTGTGGCTCAGATCTACCGATGGAATCTTTGTTTGCAGCTCAGTCGTGCCATGTTAAGAATCTGGTATCATTGAACTCTCTCACCTAAGGGCAAGTCCTCTGTCTGGATGAAGCAGCTGAAAATGGGGGACGTTGCAAAGTAAACAGAGGGGCTGAGAAAGGCTTTGGAATTGGAATTCTAAATCTTGATAACATTTTGAGTCATACAGCTTGGCTAAATAACATTTGCCTCTACCTGGTCTCCACGAAGAAAAGTGTTTGACTGCAAGTGCTGTCACCCCCAGGTAGTAAGTCAAAGAGGAAAACTGCCTTAGGAAAACTGTGATTAGTCAGTCATACATAAATGGCACTGACTTGCCCTCTAGTGGTCGGAATTAGTAATTTATGTATTTCAGGTGCCAGTTTCCGAAGGCAAAAGCTGGGAAAACCCCATGTAACTGTCCTGGCATAATGTCATTTTGCAGTGCATGGAGACCTTTGTTTTTCCTTCTTTAGAGCAGCGACCCAGTCAGCTTAGTTGCCAGCATTCTTGCTCTCTGCTATTCATCGGAGCCATGTTTAAAAGCCGTTCCTTCTCAAGAGCCATGATCTTTCTAGGTCTCTAAACTGAATGCACCACCTTCTAAGAGCCAAATTTCTGCCCCCCCACCCCCCCAAACCCCTCCCGCAGGGTTGCAAAGACGGTCAGTGCCAAAAAATCTCTCCCTTCCTCCCTCCCTCCCTCTCACACACAAGGAAATCAGAAATGTTCGGAAGTTGTCATCATTATAGAACTGCAGAGCTGGAAGGGATCTACTTCCAGTTTTGTAAAACATGGACATCTGGGGATTTTAAATGATGCAGGGGATCTGTGAGACTTCTAAGCTGCAGTTTTCTGAAGTAATAATGCCATTGTTTAATGTCCTTTGATTAGGCGTAATAAGTAACTTTTATTTGTTTCTTCACAATGTTATTTGGGGAGCCATTTGAGCTTTTAAAAGCTTTTTTAACTTTTAATTTTTAATTTTTATGGAATTAGAAGCAAAATAATGCATTAGAATACCTAACTGACACCAAATTAGCTTTCTCCAAAAAGAAAAAAGGCAATAATATGACATTCATAGATTCTTAGAAAACTGAAGTTGGAAGAGGCCTATAAGGCCATCAAGTCCAACCCCCTGCTCAGTGCAGTAATACAAATCAAAGCATATCTGCCAGGTGATTATCTAAGTTTTTCTTGAATGCCTCCAGTGTTGGACCACTCACCGACTCCCAAGGTAACTGGATCCACTGTTGTACTGCTCTAACAGGAAGTTTTTCGTGGTATTCAACTGAAATGTGGCTTCCTTTAACTTGAGCCCGTTGTTGCATGTCTTTCACTTTCTATAGCTGGAGTTTTCTTTTTTACTAGATGAAAAAGGGAGGGGGCAGGAAGCTGCAGCTTTGGCGAGACCACTTGTTGCCCCCAAGGCACATCCCCCACCCCCACCCTGCCTCTGCTGTAAATGCTTGAGCTATTAGATTGAACGATGAGCAATCATTGGCTGTTTTGTGTACTGTACTTCCAAATGCAAGGGCCAGTGGACTACTTATTAGATTGGTGTTTTTCAGTCTTTGCCATGCCCCCCTCCCCATTTTAGATTCTAACTTCTGGAATGTGTAGCAGCTGCCCGTGTTTTCCAGGGCTTCTGGGAGGTGAATGCCAACATGTTTGGAGGACCAGAGGCCGAGAATGCAATGCTTGATTATGTTGACCTTGCATAAGCGATGCTGCTGCTGCCCCCGATAGCTTCACCAGTGGTGCTCCTGAAGAATCAGCCATTAGAAAGCAGTCCTTCAGTTGCACACCTGTTTTCCGTGTAGTAGAGGTGATGATGATGCATCCTTGTGTTTCCTGCGGGTACTTAGCCATTTTTTACTATCATCCAAGGCTTATTTGTGTGTGTGTGTGAGAGAGTGTGCATTTGTGCCGGCCATTAGAAAGCAGTCCTTCAGTTGCACGCCTGTTTTTTTACCGTGTAGTAGAGGTGGTGGTGATGCATCCTTGTATTTCCCGTGGGTACTTAGCCATTTTTTTACTATCACCCAAGGCTTATTTGTGTGTGTGTGTGAGAGAGTGTGCATTTGTGCTCTCCAATCCTGGTTGTGAAGACTGCTTTTATAAATGGGAGAAATCTGACCCGGTTGCCTTCTCTGTGGTTATGGTTGAGTGGTCTACTCATGGGCTTTCTTCTTTCTTTCCTCCCTCCCTTCCCCTGTTTGCAGGAGTTATGAAGACATGTTGGCAGATGACTTGGCTAGAGACCAGTATTACTGGGCTCCTCTAGCCCAGCATGAGAGAGGCAGCCTGGCAAGCTTGGACAGCCTGCGGAAAGGAGGCCAGCCTCCAGGCAACTGGCGCCAGCCCGAGCTCCCTGAGGTGATAGCCATGCTGGGGTTCCGTCTGGATGCGGTGAAGTCCAACGCTGCGGCCTACCTGCAGCACCTGTGCTTCCGTAACGACAAGGTGAAAACAGAGGTGCGCAAGCTGAAGGGCATTCCTGTGCTTGTGGGGCTGCTGGACCACCCCAAAAAGGAGGTGCACTATGGGGCATGTGGGGCCCTCAAGAACATCTCCTTCGGCAAGGACCAGGACAACAAGATTGCCATCAAGAATTGTGACGGCGTCCCTGCTCTGGTGAGGTTGCTGAGGAAGGCGCGTGACATGGATCTCACCGAAGTCATCACAGGTGAGTCTCGGAGGAGACGGAGCATCTGCACAGGCCATTCTGAGCTTCCAGGTACCCGCTCTTTACTAATGGTGTGCTGTTTATCCCAGGAACGCTGTGGAACCTCTCCTCTCATGACTCGATAAAGATGGCCATTGTAGATAATGCCTTACATGCCCTCACCGATGAAGTGATCATTCCACACTCTGGCTGGGAGAGAGAGCCCAGCGAGAACTCGAAGCCTCGCCACATAGAGTGGGAGTCGGTGCTCACCAATACCATTGGCTGCCTTAGGTAAGCTGCAGTCGTCTTGTAGCCATGAATGCATCTTCTTATTAACTGTCTCCTGCTGAAGGCACTGAGATTTGCCTGCTTATGTTGATTTATAAATCATGTATTAGCTGGCTTTATATCCTGCTTTGTGTTCCATGATCTCAGTGAAGCACACCCGCCTCTCCTGTTTCTTAGTTCATCCTCTTAACTTATCAGATTTGCAGATGACGCAGCATTGGGTGGATAGCTATTACCTTGGAAGGCAGATGCAAAGTTTAAAAAGATCTTGATAGGTTCGTGCACTGGGCTGAAAACAGAATGAAATTTAACAGCGATTAGTGCAGAGTTCTACACCTAATGGTGAAAAGAAATGAAATGCACAGCTATAAGATGAAGGATACTTGGCTCAGTAATACTACAAGTGAGAATGATCTTGGAATTGTCATAGATCACAAGCTGAATATGAGCCAACAATGTAAAACAAGGAAATGTTATTTTAGGCTACTTTTAAAGAAATATACACTCCAAATCATTCAAGCACTAGTTCTCTCTGGTTAGGCCTCACCTTGAGTATTGTGTCCAGTTCTGGACACCACACTTCAAGAAGGATGCTGACAAATTGGAACAAGTTCAGAAGAGGGCCACAAGGATGATCAGGAGGCTGGCAACCAAGCCCCAGGAGGAAAGACTGAAAGAATTGGGCATGTTTGCCCTTGAGAAAAGAAGACTTGGGGGGGGATATGATCGCATTTTTCAAATACTTGAAAAGGTATAGAGGAGGGGCAAGATCTTTCTTTGTCATCCCAAAGTGAAGGACATGCAACAATGGGCTCAAGTTACAGGAAGCCAGATTTCCTTTGAATATCATGAAAAACTTCCTAGCTGTTAGATCAATATGACAGTGGAACCAATTATCTAGGGAGGTGGCGAATGCTCCAACACTGAAGGCATTCAAGAGAAAATTAGACAACCATCTGTCAGATCTACTTTGATTTGGTTTCCCATATTGAGCAGTGGGTTGGACTCGATGGCCTTATAAGCACCTGCCAACTCCATTCTTCTATGTTCCTATGATAATAGCCATGTGAAGTAGGTCAGGTTCAACAAGGCAACTGGTGCAGAGTCATTTCATGGTTCACTGGGGAGTTGAAGCTAGATCTCCAATTCTGATTGCAAAATTGCACCCGTTATTTTTATTGGGAAGTATCTGTGGCTCTTTGATTGCCTTGCTGGGTGTAGTAGGATGCAGTGCTAGAAAGGAAGGAGAAACTTTGGTAAAGTCAGTGACTTCTAACAAAATGAAGGTGCTGCTTTTAGAGAGGAACTCCTGCTTTGTTTGTTGTCATGACAGATTCCTGGCTTTAGATCAGGAATGATGTTAGAAATTACTGTTTTAGGTATTGCTGTCTGGTGTCCTATCTCAGATTGGAGTCGGAGTTAAAAGATGGGCCTTGAGAAGAGTATGTAGGGTGAAGCTCTTGGCTGCCTTTGCTTTCTTACCACTGCCAAGACTTGTGAAATGTGTGAAGGAAGCTGTGACAAAGCCCAGAGAGAGAGAGAGAGAGTATGGGATCAGCTAGCTGGGTGTGTGGCGTTGAACTAAAGTCTAAAGATTTAATGAAGTATGTGATAAAAGAGTTTCATGGAGGCTTATCCCATGTTATGTAGAGATTAACACTAGAGGTTAAAATGTCCATCCTTACAACCCTGGCCCAAAGTAGGAGTGGGAAGCTTAGTGTGCAACAGAAAGCAGAACTGGTGTGTTTTAAAAGCTGGTGTCCCTGCCTTTATCACACTTTTTCTCTTTTTTTTCTACAGAAATGTCAGTTCAGAGAGAAGCGAAGCCCGCCGAAAGCTGCGAGAGTGTGATGGACTTGTGGATGCCCTCATATATATTGTTCAATCAGAAATTGGCCAGAAGGATTTAGATAGCAAGGTATGGGGTGCAAGAGAGACAGGGAGCGTGATCCGGGTTGTAGCTTGCCCACCTCATTGGGAAAGTGTATGTCATCAAAGCTTTTCTTTCACACCAAGCCCAAAATGGTCTGTTTCCTTTGATTAAAGGAGGTGAAGGAAGAGATTATCTTTTGGTGGAGACCTAGAGCTTGAGGGGGAAACTTCCGATTATCACCCTTAGAATATAATTTCCCCCATTTTATGAATAGAGTGTTCCTTAAGGCAACACGGGCATGTTTTCTCCTCCCTTATTCCAGAGCCCTCTTGTGCAAAGTAAGGCAGGAAATGTCTTTTCCCCCAGCTCTTTTTCCACAGCTCATACAGAGATGTGCCGATGAAGAAAGCGACACTGCAGTTGAGGCTCTGTAGGTTATTGGAAAGATGCTTTATAGGAACGCTAATATATCCCCAGAAGGTGCAAGGTGGAAGGAAATAAAAGCAGGGAAGCCTTACTCTTTCTGGAACATCTGCCTGGTAGCAGGAAATACTGACTCTCTCCCTGTGCTTCCTTACTCTCTCTTCAGTCACTATTGGTATCTGTACCTCTGCTGAATTTTTTTGCTTGGCATAGAGAATGTAATAAGTAAGCAAGTTCCCCCAGTCCTCCAGCATATCTGCAGAGAATAGTCTGTAGTCCTCATGTTCCTTCATCATGGTTTATATACCCGTTTCTTCAGCCTTTATTCCAGTCTCTTCACTTCACCATCCCACAGCCAGTTCTAATGCTTGTGTTTGGCGTTCTCATTCACCCTGAGTTGGGATGGGGTATGAAAGGTTATCAGGTCCTGCTCTGACCTCCTTGTTTGGTTGTCACTGGCCGGTGGTCTCGGGGAGATGCAGAACATGTTGAGGGCCTACTGGTCTTTCTTTTCTCCCACTTGTTCTTTCATGCATACACTCTGTGGACCTTTTTAGCTTTAGTGTCCTCGATGGCTAACTTGAGGATTTGTCTGTTTTCTGCTGCCAGCTTGTGGAAAACTGTGTCTGCCTCCTGAGGAACCTCTCCTATCAAGTGCATCGTGAGATCCCCCATGCGGAGCGCTATCAGGAAGCTCCTCTCAGTGCTGCCAACAGCACTGGCCCCCACCCTGCCAGCTGCTTTGGTGCCAAAAAGGGCAAAGGTAGGACACTTACTTTCTGCTGCCTCTCCAACTTCTTGGGGAGTCCGGGGGTGGGGGTGGGTGGGTTTAAGCCAAGGATAGGAGAGGAAGAAAAAGGCCATTTTCCAGAGCATCTAACCCCTACTTGGCTTGAGAGGGCGAGCTACTATTTCTGCTTTCCGTGGGAGCGTTCTGTAGCTGCAGTAATTTCCTGACTCTTCTGCTCCTTAGCTCTCATGGCCTAAGGACTCACACAGTTGCCTTTTTGTTTGGTGTGTCAAATCGAGGTGATGGTTGGGTCTTCGATTAATATGTGTCCTGTCTCCCCTTCTCCTTGCGTTTTTCCTCTCTCTTCCAAACATCTTGTGATCCTGCTGGCATCTCTTCTCTCTTGCCTCCCTTCTTCCCTGTCCTTCTCTCCGACAAAAGACGAATGGTTTGCAAGAGGTGAGTTGGATCATTTTCCTCCTCCTCCCCCTTACCATGCATGCCCTTGTGAACCACATGGTGTTGCAGTCTCTTTCCAAATCTTTGCTCTATCCCTGCCACTATGGCTAAAGCCGCCATTTTGTGAGGCGCACTTGTTCTACTGCTATGGCCGTTTGTGGTGATTTTAGAAATGTAGGCCTTGTGAATAAGTAATAAAGTCACAGTTTTATATTATTCTGGTTAGTTTTCCCTTTGGCCGTCTTATTGTGTGCAGAACCTGTACCCACTGAGATGTCAAAGGCATTGTGTTGAATTGCACGCTGCATGACCTCCACCACCCCCATCCCTGTTCTGGCTCAGCTGGGGAAAAGGAAGAAGTAGGATGTCCTTCCTCTAAACTCTAGTAGGGTGGCATCCAATGCTTAAGGGAAGAAGGAGGCATGTCTTCTAGTTTTGATGCTGGGCTGTTGTGGGAGACAGCAGGACACCAGGAATTTAAGAGGTGAATCTCCCAAGAGGATAAACTTGGGAGTTTAAATTAGATAAACTTTTAATGGCCGAGTACACCCTCTGCCTCTGTACCGCCATCCTTGGCATCACCATTTATAGGCTTTCTGTTAAAAGTGCTTGGGAAGGGCCTTCCTAAAGATTATTGTGGAGTCACAGCCAAGTTGCACTTTCCTCGTCGCTCAGCGTAGGGATCCCTTGCATGAGGAAAATTCCCTTTTCATCCTTTCCTCACCCCATAATACATTTCTTTATTTAAAGGCAAAAAGCCAACGGAGGATCCTTCTGCTGACACAGTGGACTTCCCTAAAAGAACAACCCCTGCGAAAGGTATGGATATTTTTGTGGGGGAGGCGGCAGCAGCCCATTGGGAGCACTTAGGCTTCACCTGGAGAAGGTCCTGTGTACAAGATTAAACATTAGAAGTGTTCTGTGCAGCTGAGAGCTATTTTCTTACTCATTTTCTGAAATGTAAGTGAGTGTAGAGAGAAGCCCAGTACTAATTGGACTTTGTCTGCAGTTAAGGGTGTTTATTAAACCACTCTCTCAGCCAAACCTAACCCAGTTTTGCCCTTTTTCCTGTGGAGTAGAAAAAAAGAGGGAAAGCACTGTATTAGAGTTGAGTTTTTGTGTAAACCTCCATGGATGAAAACAAAGCCCGAACTAGTTCGCATCATCCCCTACCCGTTGACAGCAGATGTGGTAGAATCCAGTCCCTATATGCTTATTATAAGTGAAAAAGAAAATACAGTATTTTTCGCACTATGATACACTTTTTTATACAAAACAGGGAGGTGGAAAGTCTGTGTGTCTTATGGAGTGAAGAAAACAGATTATTTTTTCCTGTTTTCTTCTAAAAAATTGGTGCGTCTTATGGAGCGAAAAATATGGTAATTCTCATAGGCATGCTGGATGTGTGATTTGGGGGTGGGGGGATGTCAGTTTCATTTTTTAAAATTGGTTACTTAAAAGTAAGAAAGAACACATAACAGCTAAATGGAACTACCGTAGGTCTAAACAGAAAATTATAATAGTGCAAAAATGAAAAGAAAAAAGAGGAAGAAACAGGGAAAAAGAAAAATGGGGGGGAAAAAAAACACACACACAGGCCTGATGTTGAACCTATGGTGTGTGACAGGACCAGGAAGCAGTTGGTGGGAAAGGACTCTGCTTGAGACCCTGGAGGGCCTTTCCCAGCCAGAATACTGGGCTAGGTGGACAAACATCTGACTTTAGAGTTAGTTCCTTATGTAATAGGTACCTTTTCCTCTCCTACTTTTTTCTTTTTCTATTCCTTCTCCCTGCCCCGCCCCCCCCACTCCCGTGAGGGATGGTAGTGGTTTAACTCGTTTTCCAGCTGCATCATCTCTTTATGTGGCTTGCTGTACTCTTGCATGCTTAGCCTTCGTGCAGGCAAATCCTGTGAGTCATGTGCTTGCTGAGATGTGTTTTATTGGTTGGTTGGGTGCAGGCAGGGTGTTCCCCTCCCTCTCCAGTGTGCAGAAGGGTTCCAAGCCTAATAAAGGTGCGGCATGCAGGTGTGCTAGGAAAACAGCCAGTTTTCTTAAGCCTTGGTCATCTTGCTTCAGAGGGTTGTAGTGGCAGCAGCCGTTCTTAGTCGTTGGCATATCTTTTACACAAGTGGAAGGCTGAATTTGAATGGCCAGCAACTGGTTGTATCTGGAAGGTGTAATTCTCTTTCTTTGGAGTAGCTTGAGCTATGCCTGTTCTCTAAAGCCACAGATAAAACTTGCCTTGGGGCAAAGCTAAAACCCTGGATGAGTGGTAGGATGAGGGGTGAACAGTTTTCGACGGTCTGGGGCCAGTGTTTCACCTCCAGGATCCATGTGGGCCTTATTGGACCCACAAAGCATTTTTTAAAAACCACTTCCAGTTCTGAAATTTATTTGTGTTTTTTGTTTGTTTGTTTTAAATTAAGTTTTGAGGGGTGTTTAAGAGGCCCTACACCCACCTTATAGCAAGAATTTTGCTCTTGTAGGCGTCCAGGAACAGGAAATACTGAACAGAGCCGTACTGGGGATTTCAAGCAGCATAAGTGTAATTCTTTAAATCATGGTGACGAATTTTCATTCACTTAAGAGTTGCTGATTACATTTCTGTTTGTGTACCAGGCATGGGATTTGTCATGTAATGAGGAATGTGAGTGGCAACTTGTTTATCAGTGGCAATTTGCTGCCATGATATGCATCTACATGTACACTGCTGTAAAATTCTCAATACCATTCTGGTCCATACTTTTAAGCTAAAAAATAAATACACGTAGAGGGACTCATTTTCTCTCCCACTTTTATCTGTTTAAAATGTTCCATTCCATCCTTCACAGAGTTTCCAAAAGTGAGATGAACTACATGACAAAGTGCCAAACATATGGGGGTGGGGTGGTGGGTGTCAAATGTCTGAGCAAGGGAAAATATCTTTGTGCAACATTTGGAACCAGGGGCCAGGCAGGCCTTTCCCTGGTGGTGGCGCTCTACCCTAGGGTACTGTAAAAGAAAAAGCTGCCTTTCTGCTTGCTGGTCACTTCATCATGAATGGTGGGGACCTTTAGCGGAGAGCTTAATGGCTTTTATATATAACTCAGTTGTGTTCTCTCTTGCTAGGTTACGAGCTCCTTTTCCAGCCAGAAATTGTCCGTATCTATATCTCGCTGTTGAAGGAGAGCAAGACCCCGGCTATCTTAGAAGCCTCAGCCGGAGCCATCCAGAATCTCTGCGCTGGCCGCTGGACGGTGAGTGACCACACGAGAGAGGCAGCGACTGCCAATGGGATCCTGTGCGGGGTTAGAAACAACAGCAACCCACAAACCACGAAAGGATTATGTGTCAGGCAATGGGCAGAACAAAAAAAGGGGCTTCATTGTGTATACAGAGGCTGACGTGCACATGATCTACCCTGAAGCATGTTGAAATGGACAAACTGGCATAAACAAGTATTGGCTGCTCAAGGTTGGTTTTAGTTCCCATGGAGGTAAAAAGGCAGAGGAGGAAAGAAGTGGGGTGTTGCTGTTCTTAACAACACAAGATATAATGAGGTTTCCTTGGAACCAGGATGTAAGACTTCCCTTCTTGCCGTATCCACTGCTTACGCTCTTTATCCTTCTGGGCCTGACTCATCCGCAATAAATTACATGCAAACTAAATTTGACACCACTGCAAGGGGGAGAGATTTGGAGGTTTGACGTGCAAGTTGTTGTTGTTTTAAGCAATATGAAGTTTCGTAGTTTCTTGTCTTTGCAAGCAATGTCAACTGGGGCATGTTTTGATCCTCACAAGTTACATACAACAGGGCAAGAGGGTAAAATCCTATTTCTAAGTCTCCACGGGGTGGGAAAAGTGCCTTTTGGTTTGTCATGGGGAAAAGATTCCTGCTACTTAACTCCTTCATTTAAAGAATGAACCATGTCCAAGTCTCAAGTTTTCCAAACTCTGTTCACTTGTAGCTGTCAAGAGTAGCTAATAAAAGTAATCACAGGGAAACATCTGCCATCTGCAGAGTTAAGAGTTTACTTCCTGTTTGATTGACTTCGTATACTAGGAATGAACTACTTCATGAAGACTGACAGCCATGCATGACAGTCCTGAAGGCCTGCACGTACATAGCCCAAAATATTTTTCTTGTTTTTGACCTGGAGGAAAAAAGGAACTTTGGGCCTCTAGTGGTATATTTCTAAAGGTTTTTTAAAAATTAAAACATGGGCTGAGAGAGACAGTTCATGGCAAAATTGGTTCTCCTACCCCCTTTAGGGCACAAAGAGGATGTATGAACATTTTAAAGAAGAGCATTACAGGCTGCGTAGGGGCTTGGGGGGTATATTTTGACCCCAGTGACCCATAGGCTACACTTTGCCCATCCCTGTTGCACACCTAGTAAGAAATTGCTTGGAGGAGGAAAGAGCTATGTCAGATGCTGGGCTCCAGCTAGGTTGTAGAATAAACTACATGGGAGATGGAACAAAAAACAATGCAAGTGCTTCTTCTCCCACCCACCTTCCTTTGTTGGCACAGTCACGGCACCCACATAGGCTCTGCTTTCTTACATGGGAATAGGTCCAAATTTGAAGTTAAAAAGGACATTAGAAATCAGTGCTGCTTCTGTGGCTGCAGGAACCCTCTATCCAAATCCCCTTCAGATACTATTTCAAATGGAGAGTTGATACACCTCTCTTCCAGTCATGGGGCAGTGGGGAAATTCCAGAAAAGATTACTAGAGATACCATTGAAGTTTAAAAAAAGCATTTGGCTAGCTGCAAGTTACCTGTGAAATGCAACCAGTAGTTGTGGACTGACGGTGGCTGTGGGAATTGGTAAGGAAGCTAAGCTTTCTTTTAAGAGAGGTTCTCAATAAATTAAGACATTATACAGTGGACCCTCGACTTATGGAATTAATCCGTATTGGAACCATTTAATCCATTCCAGCATTAAATCCGTGCCGGCTTTCGGCTTCCCGGGCTTCAAAACCCCCTCCGCTGTCCTCCTGTCCGTGGTGCCCTCTGCCTCTGTGGGGACAGGAGACAAGAGGGCAGCGGGGAGTGACTTTGAATTTCCTGCCCTTTCCCCCTGCCTTTCGTAGGTCGAAGCTCCGGCCGCAAGTCAAACTAAAATTTTGTGGCCAGAGCTTTTTGTACCTCGAAATTTTCGTTAAGTAGGGACCTTCCTAAATCGAGGGTCCACTGTATTCTAAGAGCATGAGAAGGAAGTGCAGCGTATTGTATGGGGAACGGCCCATCCATGCGCAGGTGGTTGTCCTTTCCAGCCGAGTGACAGTGTCGTCTCTTTTACAGTATGGGCGGTACCTTCGTGCAGCAGTACGCCAGGAGAAAGGGCTCTCTTCAATAGCTGACCTCCTGACACATGACGGAGAGCGTGTGGTAAAAGCCGCATCCGGAGCTCTGCGCAACCTGGCGGTGGATTCCCGTAATAAAGAGCTGATAGGTGAGGTTACAGGGGTGGGGGTGGGGTGTTACTTAACTTTTGGAAGGCAGCTCTAGCAAGACTAGAAGTACACGGTTCATGAATGATAAGGATCAGACCCAGATGAGAACCTGGGCTATAACCTCTTTGCTACTGTTTCTCTAGATAATTATTTCCCGAAGGTAGGAGACTACGCTCTTTTGAGTTATGTGCAAGCCTTTATGTCAGGAGAGCCTCCCAAGGGCCCAGGAAGAACACAAACTGAGTCTGCAGGACTCAGAGGCCTTTTTTTAAATTTTAATTTTAATTTTTTGCTATTCTGCTCACTTCTGCAAGGATCACTTTGGCTTTTTTTTAAATTTCATTCGCCAAATGGAACGACAATTTCATGGACCAAATTACAATTCGACTCTTCCGTCCCTAGCAAAACAGCCCAAGCCACACTCCTGATGGGCCAACGTAGAAATCCCAGAAACATTTTGCCAAAAGGGCTGTCAGCCGAGTGATCCCTGCCTCTGTCCGTAAGGTCCCTTTCTCCTAATTGTGCCTTCTGGTCTTTACACCCCTTTTCCAGGTAAACACGCCATCCCCAGTTTAGTGAAGAATTTGCCGGGCGGACAGCAGTCGCCAGCCAGAAACCTCTCTGAAGACACGGTGGTTTCTGTGCTGAACACCATAAACGAGGTGATACTGGACAATTTGGAAGCAGCAAAGAAACTGCGGGAGACGCAAGGCATTGAGAAACTGGTGCTCATCAACAAGTCTGGGTGGGTGTGCGGCCCCCACGGTGGGGCCAGGGATTGAGGAAGCTTTTCCTCCGGCTCTGCAAGCCTCCTCTGGTCAAAGAGCTTTCGCCCTCGGCGGTTCGTTCTCCTGTAAAGCCTTTTATGTTCCTTCCTTCTAGGAATCGCTCGGAGAGAGAAGTCAGAGCTGCTGCTCTTGTATTACAGACCATTTGGGGCTATAAAGAGTTGCGGAAACCGTTGGAGAAAGAAGGGTGGAAGAAGTCTGACTTCCAGGTACCTTGGGGCTGAATAGGTGTTGTGGAAGCACAGGCATTTTTTTGGGGGGGGGGAGGTTTTTGAAATTGATCCCATAGACAAAAGTGAGAAAGGGTCTTTTATGGCCCTTCTGTAGGATGTACGATCAGACCTGCGATTGCTCTTGTGAGTTGCTTCTGCAGCCAATATAAAATGGGCCATGTTGGCAAAGGGTCTGAGAAGATGCTCAGTGGCTGTTTCATGGAAATATAGGATTGTGCCGGTCCTTGCTTTTGGCTGCATTTCCCCCCATGAAAACTTGAGAACATAGCAGAACTAATATTTTATTTTACATGTTACATCCGGGGAGGGGAAACCTCCTTCATTCAGCCCAAGGGCTAATTTTATTTTCAGGGAAGTTCTCTGGGTCTGGAATCAGCCGATGGTGGTGGTGGTGGTGAGGGCCCAAGACCAGAGAGTGGGAGCAAAACCCCCACACTAATTAACCTCAAAGAGGCTTTTCAGTCTTTTAGGAAGGGGGAAGAAACTACAAAACCCGAGAAACCACTGGATCCCAGGCAAGGGGGAAAGGTATCCGTGGAAACTCAGAAGGCAGGCTTAGGAACCACAGCAGGCCCAGATTGGGTCCCAGGATTTGAGGGGGAGTGGGGTGACCCATTTAACTTTATTTGTTATTTATTTAATTAATTCATCTTTTGCCTTTCTCCCTTGTAGGACCAAGGTGATGTAGAACAGTGGTTCTTAACCTTTGTTACTCAGATGCTTTTGAACTGCAACTCCCAGAAACCCCAGTCAGGAGGGGCTCGTGGTGAAGGCTTCTGGGAGTTGCAATCCAAAACTCCTGAGTAACCCAAGGTTAAGAACCAGTGATGTAGAACATACATTTAAAATCAGATTAAAACGACAGATTTGACTTTAAAACAGAATAAATGACAGTATTTAAACTATATTTATTAGATGATCACATTAAAACAGATACTAAAAACTACTTGAAGCCAACACCCAAAAGGAATAATATCTGTTGTCAGAAGGCCCAGATCAGCAGAGAAGGGCCAGTGTAGCCTCCCTCTGGGAGCAGCCACTGAGAAGGCTGCATCTCATGTCCTTACCAAATATGCCTGCAAAGGTGTTGGGACAGAAAGGAAGGTCTCTCCTGAAAATCTCGAGACCAAGGTAGGCGCATACTTACATTTATATCCTACCTTGTGTGCCATGTTTGGTACACAAACACTCCCCTTTTTTTCCTCACCATAACCCTTTGAAGGGGTGAGGCTGAGTGATAATAACTGCCTTAGGGTCACCCACTGAGCAACGTGGTGAACTGGGGATGTCAGCCTGGATCTCCTCAGAGTAAGTCTGAGGAGCTCTAACTGCCTCATCCATAGTGGTTGAGCATACGTAACAAAAGGTCCAGTCCAGACCTAACTGCCTCATCCATAGTGGAGCATACGTAACAAAAGGTCCAGTCCAGAAGGTCCAGTTTGTGCATTTGAGCTGCCTACCTCATCCCCAAAGGCTCATTGCTCTAGTCATGGCCCTTCTTGATGATGCTGAATGAATATATGTTCTAATGCCTCCCAAGGCACTAAGTGGCAAGACGCACTGCCAAGTACTGTCGGTGTATCTGGGAATAAAAACACCCATGTGTTCAACAACTCTTTCTCTTTAGGTGAATCTGAATAACAGTTCTAGAAGCCAGGGTGGCAACTCTTTTGACGACAGCACCTTGCCCCTCATTGATAAGAACCAAAAAGGAGGTATGTATGGGATTAGTAGGAGTTAGGTGTATCTGAAACCTCAGCTTTTCTGCCAGAAAGAAAGAGGCTTGGTTCATACTTTATTTGTGGTCTTCTTTTGCTGGAGTAAAAAAAAAAGAACATAGGAGATGATCTCACACAGACTCAGACCAGAGGTCCACTTTTCGCTCAGTTTTGGAAGAGATTTTTTTAGAGCTATATGTACAGTGGATCCTCGACTTACAGAATTAGTCCATATTGGAACTGTGACTGCAGGTCGAAAAGTCTGTAGGTTGAGGGTCCATTTCCCATAGGAATGCATTGAAAACCATTTAACCTGTTCCGGCTTTTTTCGTTCTTATCTAGAGGCACCGTTCACAAGTAGAAGCATTAGTTCCCATAGGAACTAATGCAAAGCCGGTTAATCCATCCTCTACCACTAGGGGGAGAATTGTTCTTCTTTTTATCTAAGATGAACTCCGCTTTAGGCTCTTGGGGCTTCGAAAACTGCACCCGCTGCCCTCTTGTCTCCTGTCCCCAGTGCACGCTGCCTCCCGGCAAGCCAAAAGCTGCCCCAACCTCCGCGCCCTCTGCCGGCTTTCGGCTTGCGGGGCTTAGAAAGTTTCACCCACTGCCCTCTTGTCTCCTGTCCCCTGCCTCAGGCTGCCTTGTCTCCTGAGGCAGAGGGCACCAGGGACAGGGGAAAAGAGGGCAACAGGTGCAGCTTTCCAAGCCCCTCAAGCCTAAAGCCACCCGACCTCCGCACCCACTGCCGGCTTTTGGGGCTTCGAAAGCTGCACCCGCTGCCCTCTTGTCTCTTCCACAGGAGGCAGAGGGTACCGGGGACAGGAGACAAAAGGGCAGCGGGGGTGGCTTTAAATTTCCCGCCCTTTCCCCCTGCCTTTTGTAGGTCGAAGCTCCGGCCGCAAGTCGAACTAAAATTTTGCGGCTGGAGCTTTTCGTACCTTGAAATTTCCGTAAGTAGGGACCTTCATAAGTCGAGGGTCCACTGTATCAGGCTATAGGGTAAATAAGTTATTTGGAGGGTTGGGTGGGTGGGTAAGGCAGTCATATGCAGTGCAGGGATCCCTCTCCCCCCCTCCAGTCTGTTTGTAATTTCTGTGTTCAGTTCCTGGTACATCGACTGAAACATTAGGTCCAAGAGAGAGAGAGAGATGAGATGACAAAACTGTAGCCCCAGGAGGTAGAAAATATAATGCTTTTTATTCCAGTATAAAATGCCCAATGCATGTTGGCCTATCAGCCTTCTTCAAGGGCTATATAACATAAATATTTTTCTCTGTGTTAGCAGTTTTGTATGTGAGTGGCAGGTATCCAGGCAAGATATTCTCAAGCATTTATTGCGATGATAAAAGCCTTTTCTCCTTAAAAATTCCTTGTGGGAATGATTCTGGGCCTTCCTTAAATCATTTTCTTATGACTGCTTTTGCTTATAATTTTGTTTTGTAATTTTCAAAAGTCATGGTTTTGTAGTGGGCAGCCGTGAGGAACCACCAGTCATACATGGAACGTTATATAAATCAGATTCATGCTTTTGTTTTCAAAAAGAAACAGAGCACCTGTACAATAAGCTATAAAGAAAGTCAAAATTCAAAGGTTTTTAAAACGGTATTTTAGTGAGGGATCATCAGACTGAGAACATCTAATCATGGTTCATTTCTTGTAGCTTAATTTTCCTGCAGTTTTCCTACTCATGAGAAACACTTGCCAAAAGCCCTAGAGTTGGTCTCCACAGAGGTATTAGAAGAGGTAGATAAATACCACGGAGCTGAAGCTAGGAAATACATTGTTGACTCTAACTATTAATTTTTATATCTTACCTAGACAAGAAATCATCTCGAGAGGAGATCCAGATGGGCAACATGGGACCAGGTATGGCAACTTCATTAGCAGAGAGAGCAAGAGGGTGTTTTGGCTTTTTGGTCTGTCCAGGGAAGAGGCTGGTCAATAAAGGCTACATCCTGACCACCCTTCATCTATTTGGTTCCATAGGCATTCTATACCTATCTCAAAAATCTGCTGTGATGCAGCTGCTCTGTCATTCAAGATGTATTGTGTGTTTGGATGTTCAGTATTGCAGTCCATTTCACTCCTTGCCAATATATCCCATGACACAGGAAGCTGAGTTTCTCGCCAATGTGGCCCTCTCACCCCTTGCTGGGAACAAGCATGTCAAAGTTTAGGGACATACAGTGGTGCCTCGCTAGACGATTGCCTTGTGGGACGAAAAACCCACAAGATTATTTGTTTTTGCGATCACTATGGTGCCTCGCAAGACTTGTTTTCTATGACCGTGCTTCGCAAGACTTTTTTTTTGAGACTGATGCTTCGCAAGACTTTTTTTAGACCGATGCTTCGCAAGACTTTTTTTTTTTTTTGAGACCAATGCATAAGGAACCTCGCAAGGTGATTTTTTCACAAGGCGACGATTTTCACAGAACGAATTAAAATAGTCTTGCGAGGCACCACTGGAAACTTCAGCCAGGCCTTCCCTCCTGACATTACATAATTTCTTCCCCTGGTTTTTCCATCTTGGATTATGTTTGCTTGTTTTAGTCTTTTTATTAATGTTTTTAATTTTATTGCTTTTTTTGGACTGTAAACCGGCCAGAGTAAATTCGTCTAGATGGGAGGTATAAAAGCCAGGCAAACAAACAAATGCCCAGTGCACTTCTCAGAAGTGATACATTTCCCAATTTCACTTTGCCTGCTTCTGTGCACTGCTAGCAAACACTTCCTCCTATGGCAGGCAGCCATTAAGAGGAATTTCCCAGGCAGGTTGAAGAGAAGCGGAGCCCTCTGGCCATGCCCCATTTTGGCATAGCTAACCTCTTTTCAAAGTGCCCACAGCAAATGTGTGCACAATTACTGCAGGTGGGCAGGCCTATCCTAGAGTTAAGACTAGCAGCCTTGTTCAGAGATGTGGAGGACATTAACCTCATTAGACTTGAAGGCAGCTTTCCACACTCTGATGCCCTCTAGATTTTTTGAATTCCAGCCCCCCCCATCCCTCCCCATTGGCCAGTTTAGCAGAGGTCAGTGAAGGCTGCAGTCAGAGCTCGCAAGTAATGTGCTACAATCAGTTTCTTGCTGCTGTGTTTGTGAAGTGATCCAGCTACAATAAAAAAAATTATTAATTTGCTTACTATGTACCAAGATTGTTATTTTCAATAATGGCTAACTTTTCTTGTCGCTTTTGTTTGTTCCATTTTGAGATGCGTTTTTAGTGGGGGCTTTTTTTTTTTAGTAATTTTAAATTATCTCTAATTTAACAATAAAACAGATTAACAAATTCTACACATGTTTTTAAACTGTTCAGTGCCAACAAATGACTCTTGATGTAACATCAGTGATATAATATTAATGAGATGGTGCTAGTACTGTTTCCAGGTTCAAGTTGCCGTCCAGAACAGCTGGTAGAGGGAAGCTTTTGTAGTATCGGGTGGCTGTTTCGGAGGAACAGCATCTTGTGCTCTTACCTCTTTAGGCTTCTGTGAAGATGTTTTTTTTTAAATTTTATTTCATGCCAAGGGTTCCTCTTAATTTCAGACAACTACTCTACACTGAATGAACGGGACCACAATAGGACATTGGACCGATCTGGAGAGGAAATGGAATCTCTGAAGGGAGCGCCACTGATGGTAAGGAATTGAGACTCCCCTGGATTGAGCCCACTGCTCTCTTACCAAGGCGGGGGTGATGTCTCTAGGCCACGGAGGCTGTTGCCCTCCCTGAAGGAGGCACGCCTGTGATTGCCACTATCCCAAGCTTGATAGGACAGAGGTTACAAGGATTAGAGAATGGATAGGAAGCAGCGCTGGTGGAATAATGTGAGCATTTCCTTCCTTATCTCTTGTTGGCAAATAAGTAACTAACCCAAACCTTACTGACTTCTCTGTGTTCACTTTCTCCAGTTATTTTCCATTTTCTCCCTCTTCTGCATATCACACCACCTTTACTAACAATACCTCTGTCTACAGCAGGAGGAAGGGCAAGAATCCCTTGAGGAGAATGAGCAGTTGTTTTATCCTCCTCCGATGGTATGTCCTGGTTTCCTGATAGGGCTCTTCTGCTTCAGGGCTTGAGGGGCATGTTGGCAATGGGGTAGGAAATTCTGGTCTGACACTCCAATCAAACCCTTGTAGCATCAAATCTGGGTTCTTGCTTAACTAATCACCTTTCAAAAAGTTGGGGCACCCGGACAACAGGGTGCTTTGACTGCCAGTTAGATTCTGCATCTGATCCCACTTGCCGTGTGTAAACCTGCTGCTTGCCAACCTTTGTATGCTGTTAATGTTAACGTTTTTTTCTTTCTTTCTCTCCACAGCAGAAGATCTAGACATGCCATCTCTGCCTTCTCTGTTTTGGGTTTATAACATACCATGTGTAACTCTTTGTGGTGAAATGGACTGACTTTTTTTTTAAATCTCCTGGCACACAAGTCCAGCCACTCAGCCAATGACTGCCCTCTCCCATGCCCACAGAGCCCCTCATTCCTCTCTCTAGATGGCTGCACATCCAGTTCTCTGGGTCACTTTTTTGTCTCTCTTTTTTTAAAAAAGAAAAAAAAATGCAGCAATTCCTGAAGACCAAATATTCCTGATGGATCTCACTTGAGAGACTAAGGCAGACTCTTAAAAACAATACCAGTGAATGCCGTGTCTACTACCAAGGATGGAAACCGCTGGTGCAGATGGATAACTTTCAATTGAACTCAAACCATACTGGAACTAGATTTTCTTATGGAGATGTTGGCTCTTTTCTTCAAAAAGAAACCATCTCCTCCTTCTTGTAGCCTATAAAATATATTTTCGTGTGTGATTCATTTTTTTTGCAACAAAGGATGCTGGGAATACTGGAACATTCCTGGTTGGGTGGTGGTGGTGATGATGATGATTATGAGGGAGGGGGGATGACGACAAAGGAGGAACAGCTGATGAGTGACTACCCTTGAATTACCTGAATGCAAGATGGCCTTGAGGAGTGCATCTTTGGGATGAGAGCTCTGTGGATCCTTATAAGCGGAGAAAGAATGGGTGGGCTGCCATACTTCTTGTTTGCTTCTTGGTGATTTAATCTGCAATGGGTTAACTCAGAGCTTTAGGAAGCTATTTATTTGTGGGGAAAGAGCAGCTTCAGGGGAGGGTTGCGGGGAGTTGAGGGGGTGGGGAGAGGACACAGTAATGTTACCAGGGAGTTGGTGGAAATGGGGGGCAGGGGTCTTCTGACGTAGGGGAGGCCATTTTTGCTCTACCCTGTCAGGGACAACACACAATGTCTGGTTTGAGGTTGTTGCTGGTTAATTTTGAGGTAAGTGATAGATGCCTAGACAGGGCTGTAAAGTGCAGAGTAGGGTGAGGGAAGAGGGCAGATGGCGTGGGAAGCAGGATGATGTGGACAGTGCGTGAGGGAGAGAAGGCTATTTTGTAAATATTGCCCAAATCCTCCCATGCAGGCAGGGGAATGAGAAAAACTATTAGCTGTCACTATTTACACGTGCCTTTCTTTGCCACTGTGAAATGGCTTGGTGCTTTTTACCAGTTTTGAGTGAGGAAGGTATGAAGAGTGCCTAGACGGGAGAGTGAAGTGGGGGTGGGGTGAGGGTAGATTTTGACACAGAGCTCATTGTTGTTCCTGCTCTCCCCCAACTCCTTGCATTGGAACCAGAATTCTGATATCACCATTTCTGATACTGAAATTTAAGAGGTCCGTATTGGCAGTTGGAGCTGGGAGAGACTAGAAACGAACATGTCAGCTGTTTTAAGGGCCCTGGGGGCTGAGGAGGGAAAGGTGAAAGCACGGGGGTGGTGGGTGAGGATCATGATGTGCACCTTAATGTCTCGCCCTCTTCAGGGAACAAGAGGAATTTAAGGCCTGTTTCTGCAGCTCTTGGTCCTCAGCAGTGTAGCAGCAATAAAGGGGGAATCTATGACTAGTTCTGGGCACCATATTGGTGGCTCCACCCCTTTTAGTGACTGAAGAGGACTGCTATAGCCTTTCCCTCATCCTGCCCTACCAACCCCAAAGCTCTGCCTCAGCCCAATAACTGCAAGGGACTCAGTTGCCCTCCACGCGTGGGATTCTTGCCGCATCTGCAGTCCACACTGTATCAGAGCAAAGGCCTAAAGCAAAAGCAATCCCAAGGTTTTCCCTCTGCCCCCCTCATTTTTGGGGAGGAGTCAGAAAGCAGGTAAATCAGCCTTCCAAGGTGGGGTCACTCAACCTTTTTCTAATGCAAAACACTTTTAAAAAAATTTCAGATGAACCAAAAATCCCCTTCCCATTCTGACCAATTCAGTGCTGTAGGCGGAACTAATAACTCACTGACTTTCGTTGTTTTGCTTTTCCTTTGCACCCTTGGGGGATTGGGGGGGGCATCCTGTTGTTCTTTGGGTCCTGCGCTCACTCTGTAATGCTTTTAAAACAAAATGATTTTTATATAAATAAAGTTTTAAAGTGTGTATTTGTTAAAAATGGAATTGCCTTGTCCAAATCTTGTTGAGTCTGTCCTTCAAGGGGACCTGCTACTGCCCGAATACGGATTCTTCTTCTTGCAGATGTTACATTTGCTGATGATTTTTCCCCCTGGCCAAACGGATTCACGTGTGAAAATGATGGATTTGTGCCTGCACTGATGTTAGCCTTAGAAGGAAGGGGTAATGCAGAGATCACAATACACCCCAGCATGTTGATTTTCAGCCTGATTGCCGCTTTTCTTCTGTTTTTTGTGCTACAGCACTCATGGTGAAAAAAAAGCTGTACTTTGCCATTACATGAAGGTGTGTAGAAAATGCACTCCTTGTTTTTCAGGGATTGGTGATCCAGTTGATGGGTAGTACTAATTATTTTGAAGACAAGGTGTGTCCTCTTTATAGTCCCATTTTAAAGGTTAAATTGGTGGGAGGGGCATTACCAATTTTCTGTGAGGGGGTGTGCAGTTTGCCTTTACAGCAAGGTCCATTGGGTTTCAATCTGATCAATATTTCTGGGAGACTAAATGATGTGCTGCCAAATCAATTTGTACTTAGCAACCTTTTTTCATGGCTTTTCAGGTAGAAAGAGAAGTGAGTATTATCACTCCCTTCTTCTGGGGGTGCCCTGGGACTGCAGCTTGCCCAAGGCCACACAGGCTGGCTCTACTCACAGGAAGCACAGTGGGGAATTGAACTCTGAGCCTCTGGCTCTGCAGCCAGAGATCTAAACCACTGAGCTATCCAGCCAGTTTCTGATTACCTGAAAAACAAGATTCACATTCCTTGGAAACTGCCATTGTTGCCAGTGCTGCTTCCACCTTCACCTTTGTGCCAAAATTTACTTGACATGGCAATAAGAAGTGTCTCTCCTTTGGGTTCACTTTGTAAAATGTAAACCTTTTAAAAATAGAATCTGTTCTGAAATAACTGAGCTGTGATGCATGTTCTAGCAAAGAGTTTATGAGGCTAGAGCGACTATTCTTTTTCAATTCATTTGCTTCCCTTGTTAGTATCTGAACATAATTGGTTTTGATTTGGCTCCTTCCACTTGACTGCCGCAGCCTTCAGCAGCAGTTTTCAGAATTGCCGTTCCACTACCTTCAGGATACATGTTCCCTTCGTGCTGCAGCAAATGCCATTTGTCACCTTCCCAATACTAGCACAGAGTAGATCAGGACAAGTTGACCAAATGTAAGTGCCATAAACAGGACAAAGCATTTACAGTAACCCTCTCCCAGTTGTCAAAGTTGCCTTTCCCACTCTCTTCCATCTGCATGTCACAAGCAGGAGTAGACACCAGTGTGGCCAAGTTCCATCATCCAGTTGGATTCATCAGACGGAAAAAGTCTTCAGCAAGAAAGGAACTTGGTTCCTTTATTGTCCTTGGCGACACCTTGGGCTCATTACTCTTTAAACTCCTACAGTGGAGCCTCTGCTTACGGAATTAATCCATATTGGAACGGTGGCTGCAGGTCGAAAAGTCTGTAGGTCGAGTCTCCAGTGACCTACAATGCATTGAAAATCGATTAATCCTGTAACCGGCTGTTTTTGTTCCATTTTTGTTCCATTTTTGTTTTCTGGTCTGTAGGTCGATTCTCCGGCTGCAAGTTGAACCTGAATTTTGCGGCCAGAGAAGTCTGTAACTCAAAAAGTCTGTAAGTTGAGCCGTCTGTAAGTCGAGGGTCCACTGTATATCTAATGGTAGCGGAGAACAGAACTATTGCAGACACTGCCTTTTCTCTGTTGCAGTTTCCTGGGCAGTCTCTTAGCAAATCATGAGGATGGGGAATCGAATCATTTTTCCAGGGTCTGTTCCCTTTTGAGAACTCTTAAATTTTCCTTTCATCCTGGTAACGTCAAGTATCACATCGACTTCCGTAATGTTTCATGCATATTCACACGTGTTTTCCAGCAGAGGTGAAGCAGATTGCAAAATAAATATTTGCAGAACCTAGTAGTGGCATAGGAAACAAAGAAGCTCAAGTCTTTTGAGAGCTAAATTTCCCTCATGTCTTATCTGAAAATATGCGCTGTGCAGGCAGCCAGAGGATTATCTAGTGGCCATGTAGCCTTTCTCTCTCTCTCATCTTCTCAGCTGGTTCTCCAGTTCTGGAATCCTTGCTTTTCCTGGTGCTACTAAAACAGGAGTGGGCAAAAGCCTCTAGGTTCATATTTTTCTGGCAAAAATGTGAGTAACAATTTCTGGAAGCCTTTAAAAATGCTGGGCATTTTTAAAAAACGTGTCACCACCAACCTCTGGCCCCGGATCCTTGTACACCAAAAACAAATCATCCCCCCCCCCAAACAATGTAGAATTCTAACGACATTGAGCAGGGGGTTGGACTCGATGGTTTTATAGGCCCCTTCCAACTCTGATTCTGTGACTTGTCTCCCCCCGTTTTTGAGGGGGAGCATTTTTGTTGGAGCCTGTTAAATGCAATAATCAAAATGAATTCTGAGTCCTTCCTCCCATTCAGGTGTAATAAGGCAAAATCGTGTAGTAAGATAAAAGTCTGTGAGAACATTTTCTGGGAATATTTGAACAGTCAAGTAAGCTACAGTAATTTGAAGCTCTCCCACACATGTTCTTGTTGCTGTCACTGCTGAGATTTCTCACACAAATAACAGAAGGTAGATACAGAATCATTACTGACTTATGTTTAATTTCAAGTAAAGATTTTGTGCCTGGAATGAAACCAAATGCTGGCGGGTGGGAAGTCAGGCTGGGGCTACTGGGCCAGTAATGCTTCTAGTTAACCCAGTTGGAACAATTCCAAGTCTGGCCAGCGTCTGTTGTCAAACCGGAAGAATTTATGCGGATGGTGTCTCACTGGTATTTAAATGGGATTGGGATATGGGTGGCGGAAGGGGGAAAATCTGCATTTTCTTTTGTACAAGCACTTGCTGCTATTTATACAAAAGCATTCATCACGTCCATTCACACTTTCAGTGTTTTCTTGTCCAGCCTGAATTGTGTTGATGTTAGTAAGAGGCTGAAGGAAGTTCCAAAGAGCCACAGGTTGCGCTGTGTCTACACTTTCTTTCTAAATTTCAGCCAGCCTCTAAGCTAGGCAGCTGCAAAGCTACCAACAAGGAACTCCCACCACAGATCTATATGACCCAGTTCTAAGGGGCTTTGCTTGATCAGGGGAATGCTGTTCAGAAAAAAATCAGTGGGCAGTTGGAGTTGGCTCTCTTGTCATGTTTTGTACTAGGTACAGTATTTCAGCTAATAATGGCAAATGTTGCAGCAGAGTTTTACCTCATGCTCCTGTTAAAGTACAGTATTTGTGTTATGATGTGTGGGTTTGACAGCTTAAATAGACTTGTGCTAATTTCGTTTACTAGACTGTGTGTGTGTTTTGCACTCATAGAGTTGGAATCCTCATGACAGTGCATTCTTTATATGTACTTGAACACTCGATGTTTAAAGGAGAACTGTGCAGTTCTTGTCCCAAACCTGCACAACACCTTATATATGAATTATACCTGCTATTCTTTAGTGGAATTGCTGCTGTTCGGCCTTGATAAGACTCTGGTGATGATTGTCAGAGATGAACTGTGTCAGCCTCCTGAAATGACCCATAAGATCAGGTTGAGGTCTGCGGTAAAACAAATTCCCACCTACTAGCAGAGTATTAAGAATTTTTCAGAAGACTTATAATTGTGCCTCTTAGTTGCTTCCATTTTGTGGTTGTTGCTATTTCCTTAAAATGTCCATTATGATGGTTAGAGGATGCTGTTTGAAGAAACAAACATAGGAAATGCTCCCAGCTCGTCCAGTCCTGACTGAACTAGAAAACAGATACATGTTCGTATTTCTCCAGAATCAGCCTTCCTTGGGACTCTGAATACAAGTTAGAATCCCCAAGGAGCTTGTTAAAAAGTTTTGTTCCTTTACAGTAAAACTGGTGACTGGCCCTGAACAGTCAATAAGCCTGGACTAGTTTCAGTAGATGTAGTGCTACCAGGGGAAATTGTGCTCTGTAGGGCTAACATAATCTACATGCACACTTTACTTGCAGAGTTGTACTGTGACTGTCAGTAAAGGTATATCTCTGTGGACTGAGAATGTGGAATCCCTTTTTTCCTGTAGTGCAGCTTCTTCTTTGGTGGCACAACTTCTGATGCTAATTCCAAGGTGTAATGCACCACCACCGCACACTCAATCACCACACACTACAGTTAGTCTAGTGATACGGAAGACTACCTCTCACTGTTCACCACAAAAAGGAGAATTTTTAAAAATAAGGAAATGTTTCAGAAGTAGCAAAATTTGGGTTTTTAAAAAAAGGAGATTATTCCTGAAGAGCAGAGAACGAATGTGGATAAGATCATGTAAAGCAGTTTTTCATAGTCTTCCTGAGAGGGTTATAGAATAATTTTTATTGTGTGTTATTTTCATCCTACGTTGTGCCCACAACCTGGACTCAAGGTGAGTCACAAGACAATTCAATTCAATTCCCTTTAAAAATACATTAGAACATTATTTATTTCCACATGTAAAACAGGAAGTTTTAAACTGTTTCTGAACTGCACTAGGCCTTGGAATAAATGATAGTACCTTCCCTGATAAACCTCTTGATCACAGTGCTGGAAGGAGATGCTCCAGACAGCTGGCACCAAAGAAGAATAACAAGAATATCCAAGCCAAGTGATGACTCTATGAAAGGAGAGCCATCCTACCACCCAACTGCACTCCTTATCTGGGACATGAAATTATGGCCATTTCCATTATGGCCTTAGGACTTTCTGAATAGAAGGAACTATGACATAATCTATCACTGACAGCTAGTCTTCTCCGTTTCTTTTTTTAAAAAATGTTTTTTATTTTTATTATAAAGGTAGGGTAAGGTAAGGGACAACTGGGATGGGGTACCCTCAGAGGGGGTAGGTTTGAACGGATACATTACAGATCAATATTTTTCATAGTAATTCTATACATTCTTTTCTAGAAATAGTTCCACATATCAGAAAGAAATATAAACAGTGAGTGAGAGGGAAAA